TTCTTTAGAGACAGCACCACGCTCACGCTGCTCAGTCGGCCTGTTGCGGTCTCCCTTGCTGACCCCTCAGGGGGCCCAGTCCTTGCACACTCCTCTACAGTTTTACCGTGTCCTGCGGCCCCGTCGGGCTTGCTGTCGGGACTCCACCTCCCCTCGTTCTCTACAAACTTGGTGAGTGGAGCTGACCTCCAGGACGCGTGGGTTGACCAGTTCACCCCTGGAGGTCAGCGTGTGACTCACTGCACTTGCTCTCGGACGGGCCGCCACCTGGCCACGTTCACCCGTCGGCCAGGGTCGAGTCTGTACACACTGACTACTGCGCCTCCTCCGGTCCCTGGGTCTGGTCAGGTAGCTGCGTCTAGTCAGGTGTTTGCTGCCGCGTCCAGGTCTAGTCCTGTGTCTGCCCCTTGCTCGTGTCGTCCTCTGTCGCACGAGACTCTCCTTTGGCACCACCGTCTTGGTCACCCCTCCCTGCTTCGTCTTCGAGGTATGGCCTCCCGTGCCCTTGTCTCTGGTCTCCCCAGGTCCCTCCCTCCCCTTCCTCCGGGGCCTGCCCCCACATGTGTTCCTTGTGTCGAAGGTCGGCAGTGCGCCGCTCCTCACTCCTCCTCGTTCCCTCCGACTGAGGCTCCTCTGCTGACTCTTCACATGGACGTGTTAGGCCCAGCCCACGTCCGTGGACAGGGTCACGAGCGTTACTTCCTGCTGGTCGTTGACGACTACTCGCGTTACACCACAGTCTTCCCCTTGCGCAGCAAGGGTGAGGTCCCTGAGGTGTTGATCGACTGGATCCGCGGTGCTCGTCGCCAGCTCAGTGAGAGTTTTGGTTCAGACCTTCCTGTTCTGCGTCTGCACTTGGATAGAGGTGGGGAGTTTTCCTCCGACCTCATGAGGGCCTTCTGTCGTTCGGAGGGCATCCGCCAGACGTTCACGCTTCCGGCCTCCCCGCAGCAAAATGGAATTGCTGAGCACCGCATTGGCATGGTCATGGATGTTGCTCGTACGTCCATGATCCATGCGGCTGCCCCCCATTTTCTGTGGCCGTTCGCGGTTCAGTACGCTGCGCATCAGATCAACCTTCAGCCTCGTGTCTCCTTGCCGGAGACCACACCTACTCTGCGGTGGACGGGGAAGGTTGGCGATGCGTCCGTGTTCCGTGTCTGGGGATCTCGAGCTTTTGTCCGCGATACTACAGCGGACAAGCTGTCCTCCCGTGCCGTTCCCTGTGTCTTCCTTGGCTTCCCTCTTGACGCACCCGGGTGGCAGTTCTACCACCCCACCTCGCGTCGTGTTCTGTCCTCTCAGGACGTCACGTTTGACGAGTCGGTGTCGTACTACCGTCTCTTTCCCTACCGCACTGCCTCTCCCCCCCCCCCGCCACTCTTCCTGGCACCAGGTACTCCCCCGGTAGACCCCCTCCCCCCCCAGGGTCCTACCCCCTCAGGTGTGTCCCAGGTAGACCCTGCCGGGCCGATCGAGGTAGCTGTCGACTCAGGTGCTGCTAGGGGTGCTGAGCCTGCGGGTGAGGGGACTGGGGGTGCTGAGACTGGGGGTGCTGAGTCTGGGGGTGCTGAGTCTGGGCGTGCTGAGCCTGGGGGTGCGGGGCCTGAGGGTACTGTGTCTGGAGGTGCTGAGCCTGCGTGTGCTGAGTATGGAGGTGCTCTAGGTGTCCCGTCGCGGCGGGAGCCCCTCTCTCCACAGCGGCTTCGTGAGTGGTACTCTCGGCGCTGTCGAGGTGCTGCTGGTGCTGGAGGTGCTCCTGGAGCTCCTGGAGGTGCTGCTGGTGCTGGAGCTGCTGGAGGTGCTGTTGGTGCTGGAGCTGCTGGAGGTGCTGCTGGTGCTGGAGCTGCTGGAGGTGCTACTGGTGCTGGAGGTGCTGCTGGAGCTACTGGAGGTGCTGGCACTGCTGGAGGTACTGCTGGTGCTAGAGCTGCTGGAGGCGCTGCTGGTGCTGGAGCTACTGGAGCTGCTGGTGCTGCTGGAGCTACTGGAGGTGCTGGCGCTGCTGGAGGTGCTACTGGTGCTGGATGTGCTGCTGGAGCTACTGGAGGTGCTGGAGCTGCTGGAGGCGCTGCTGGTGCTGGAGCTGCTGGAGGTGCTGCTGGGACTGGAGACCCTGGGGCTGAGGGTACTGGTTCTGTCTCTGCTGTTTCTGGAGGCGCTGCGCGGCCGCGGCCGTACTACGTTCTGCTTCTTCAGCAGGTTCTTGGCTCCCCGCCTTCTCCTGGTCCTCCTCCTCCTTTCTTGAGTCCACCGCCTATCCAGTCCCCGTCGCAGTTCCAGCCGGCCTGTCCACTGCCTGGTCCTTCTCCTTACACTGGACCGACTAGAGGTCTTACAGAGCGTCGTGAGCCTGAGTCTCGTCCTGTGTTGCCTGCGTCTCGTTCTGCGTCGCCTGTCCATACTGTTCGCGCTGGTCGTGTTTCGCGTCCGCGTCTTCCTCCTGTCCCAGGCACTCACTCTATGACACTGCGTCCTTCTACTGCTCCACAGCGTGTCCCTCTGCCGTCTCCTCCTGTGTCCTCTCTTCCTGACGGTCCTGACCCTGAGTCTGACTCCCTTCGTGCTGCTAGTCCATCTGTCACGCGTTTTTTGGCCACTGCTGTCACTGACCCTTTGTTTGAGTCCACTGCTTCGTCTGCTCTAGTTGCTGAGCTTGTTGACTTTGCTGCAGCCTGTCGCCTAGACTATGCCGCTAGTCTTGTTGCTGAGTCTGTGTCTGTCTGTCCTCCGTCCGTCGGGGGTGAGTGTGCTCTTGGCACGGACGTTCTTGAGGACAGACAGGAGGAGTTTGAGTGTTTTGCTGCTTCTGTACCTCATCTCGTGTCCATGCTGCTTGCCCCTAAGGGAGACCCGGATGCACCAGACATCCCGACCCCGCGCTCTTACGCAGAGGCGATAGAGGGTCCCTACTCCTCTCAGTGGCAGGCAGCCATGGACGCCGAGATGGCTTCCTGGAAGTCCACAGGCACCTACGTCGACGAGGTTCCCCCACCTGGGGCGAACATCGTCAGTGGCATGTGGATCTTCAGGGTGAAGCGGCCGCCGGGTTCTCCGCCTGTCTTCAAGGCGCGTTACGTTGCACGTGGCTTCAGTCAGCGACAGGGAGTTGACTTCTTCCAGACCTTCTCCCCTACCCCGAAGATGACCACTCTTCGGGTACTGCTGCACGTAGCTGCTCAGCGTGACTACGAGCTCCACTCGCTTGACTTCAGCACAGCCTTCCTATAGGGCAGCCTGCACGAGCAGATCTGGCTGCGCCGCCCACCTGGCTTCACTGGGTCGTTTCCAGCTGGTACCCAATGGAGCCTCGGGCGGCCAGTCTACGGTCTCCGTCAGGCACCTCGTGAGTGGCACGACACACTCAGGACGATTCTTGCTGCTCTTGGTTTTGCTCCTTCCACTTCTGACCCTTCTCTGTTCTTACGCACTGACACTACTCTGCCGCCGTTCTACGTTCTTGTGTACGTAGACGACCTCGTCTTTGCTACTGCTGACACTGAGGCACTCGCCCACGTGAAGTCCGAGCTGCAGAAGAGACACACGTGCACAGACCTGGGTGAGCTGACAAGCTATCTTGGCTTGCGGATCACCCGGGACAGAGCACAGCGCACCATTACCTTGACTCAGTCACACATGGTGCAGCAGGTCCTTCAGCGCTTCGGCTTCACGTACTCCTCGCCACAGTCCACTCCTCTGCCTACCGGTCACTCGCTCTCAGCTCCACCTTCGGACGAGTCCGTAGAGCCGAGTGGCCCGTATCCAGAGCTTGTGGGCTGCCTCATGTACCTGATGACTTGCACACGACCTGACCTCGCATACCCTCTCAGCCTTCTGGCTCGCTACGTGGCTCCCGGCAGGCACCGAAAGGTGCACTGGGATGCTGCGAAGAGGGTGTTGTGATACTTGTGCAGTACATCGGGCATGGGACTCGTGCTTGGAGGACGGGCTCGAGTTGTCCTCACTGGTCACGCTGACGCCTCCTGGGTTGACGACTTGGCTACGCAGCGGTCGTCACAGGGTTACACCTTCAGTCTTGGCTCCGGTTCTGTCTCTTGGCGGTCTACCCGCTCTTCTTCTGTTCTCAGCTCCAGTTGTGAAGCTGAGATCTACGCTGGAGCCATGGCTGCACAGGAGCTGCGCTGGCTCACCTACCTGCTGACCGACTTGGGAGAGGCGCCTCGTTCTCCTCCAGTTCTGTACGTCGACAACAAGGCCATGCTGGCCTTGTGTCAGGAGCACAGACTGGAGCACAGAACGAAGCACATTGCTCTGCGCTACTTCCTTGCTCGAGAGTTGCAGCAGCGTGGCCAGCTTCGTCTTGCTTACGTGGCCTCTCAGGCCAACACTGCTGATGTTTTCACCAAGGCACTTCAGCCTTTTGATCATCAGCGTTTCTGCACTGTTCTAGGCCTTGTACCTACTGTGCCTCACTTGCTGACTTCTTGACTCTGCTTGTACTGTACTCTATATACTTATACCTGCATGCTTATACTTGCTAGGTTGTGGTCACTGTTTTGTTTGCCTTCCTTTATATAACTCTGCATGTGAACTGGCCTTGTGGCCTTTTGCTTGTGCTCAGACTGCGTGGTGACTTTGTGATCCACCCTGAGCTTGCTTTGCCTTTCTTGACTGGTCTTGTGACCTCTTGTTCTCCCCCACTTTGCCTATGGGGGTGTGTCAAACTTACATATGCTAGTCTGTTTAGGCTGTAGTGGGGTAATTCTTAGAGGGTACAACACTATTGTGCTTTCTACTTGTACCCATCTCCTTTCCTAGTTTCATCATTCCTCTCATGATTCTCACATTTTATTATAGGCGCAGGTGCACAGCAGGACGGTAAGTGCATAGGTGATGACATTGGACAATCGTATGCAATGCCTCTCAGTCTGATGGTGATGGCTAGTAGCGAAGGGTGTGCGTGTGCATCCAAGCCTATCAGTTCTGCCTGCCCAGTCTGGAGTTTTTGAAGCTTGTGCAGGTGTGGGCGGCGAGGGCCATCAGAAGCCGTGGCTGAGCGACTTCAGGGCGGAGCGGATGGCGGCGTCCAGCTGCGGCAGCTGTGCGCCCACCACCTCTGTGACGCGTGCGCCGTGCTTCCACACCTTGAACGTCGGCACTGACTGCACGCCCTCTCGTGCTGCCACCTCTGGCAGCACGTCGATGTCCACCTGCCAAGGGGGCACACAGGATACATGTGTGCGGCATGTGTGTGGCATGTGTGCAGCATGTGTGCGGCATGTGTGCGGCATGTGTGCGGCATGTGTGCGGCATGTGTGCGGCATGTGTGCAGCATGTGTGCGGCATGTATGCGGCATGTGTGCGGCATGTGTGCAGCATGTGTGCAGCATGTGTGCGGCATGTGTGCGGCATGTGTGCGGCATGTGTGCGGCATGTGTGCGGCATGTGTGCGGCATGTGTGCGGCATGTGTGCGACATGTGTGCGACATGTGTGCGGAATGTGTGCAGTATGTGTGCATCATGTGTGCATCATGTGTGCATCATGTGTGCATCATGTGTGCATCATGTGTGCATCATGTGTGCATCATGTGTGCATCATGTGTGCATCATGTGTGCATCATCTGTGGATCATGTGTGCATCATGTGTGGGGAGACACGGCTCCCAGCATGCGATACCCGGTTGTCTGCCCTGCCCTGTGTCACAGGGCTTGGCATGCCACCCACACCCACTGCACCCACACCCACAGCACCCACACCCACTGCACCCACCTACACTACCAAAGCTTGCTGCCCCTGCGCGCTGTTCATGCACGGCAGAACCTTCCCCCCCCTCCCCACCACCATGCCTCAGTGCAGGCATCTACGAGTCACCTTGAGCAACTTGCCGCACCTTGAGGAACTTGACGGTGGGGTGGGCGGCACTGAGGCGCTCAAACAGCGGCGCGGCCTGGCGGCACGGGCCGCACCATGCAGCACTGAAGGCCACCACGAGCAGCCCTGCAGGCACCACGCACGAGGTAATGGCACAGGACAGGGTTGAACGCTGGGGCAGTGGGGATGACAGCACAAGACAGTTCCAGCACCAGCCAGGGTAGCACAAGAGCAGAGGAGCAGGTACGGCAGTGTGTGTGAATGATCGCACCCATGCTGGTGACGGCCCCTCGGAACTCGCTGTCTGTGCGCACCGCCACCACTCTGCCGCTGCTGCCACCCCCTCTCCCTGTCACACTCCCGCCCCTCCTGCCATCCGCCCCACTGCTGCCTGGCATTCCAGCCTTATTCAGCTTCGCTTCCACGTCAGCCAAGGCCTTGGCCACATCAGCGTCGTTGGGCATGAGCTGGCGCAGCTGCAGGTAGTCCCGGTGTGCCGCCTCCCACTGCTGCAGCTGCCCTTCCACCACCGCCGTGCCGCAGCGGGTGGGGTGACGGGGGAAGACGGAGGGGAGTGGGAGCGAGGGGAGGGATAGAGGGGAGAAAAGATTGAGAATAAAGGGGCACGTCGCCAAGTGACACGGTTTCTGGGTTGACGGAAGGACAAGTGACGTTGGTCCGTGCGGGTTCGCAGGCCACGCATCAGTTGTGGAAGAGCAGCGCTCAGCGGCAGATAGAGGATTCACAAAACTCACCTCGTGAAACAATGCCTCCCTCCTCACAACCTCCCCTCCATTCCTTCTTCCCTCCTGCCACTACCCGCCCTCTTCCCCACTTCCCCTCCCCTTCCCTCCTCCCCCTCCTTTCTCACCTGAGTGTGGCACGTGGCCTGGCGGAGCAGCGCCTTGCAGTAGGCGGGGTGGGCAGCGAGGGCGCGCTGGCAGTCCACCAGGGCGTCGTGCCAGCGGCGCTGCTGCATGCGGCACGCAGCGCGGTTGCACAGCAGCACAGGGTTGCCCTCACCGCCCGCCGCTATCCCCCGCGAGTACGCCTCCGCTGCCCCCGCCGCGTCGCCCGCCTTGAACAGCTCGTTGCCGCCCGTGCGCGCCGCCGCCAGCTGGTGCGCAGTGGCGAGCAGCGCGGGCAGCGCGGGGTGGTCGGGGAAAAGCTTGGCGCCCTGCTCCGCCCTCGCCACTGCCAAGTCGAACCTGCACAGGGGAGGGGGCGAGCGCAGGGCAAGGAGGAGGGGTAGAGGTGGTGCAGATGCTGGGGCAAAGCCAGTCCCGTTGCAGGCTTGCCCGCATGAGTGTGGCGCCATGCGAGCACGGTGGGCCGAGGAGACGAGAGCATGGCTGAAGGAGCTATGAGGGGAGGTAGGGTTTACTTGAAGGGTAGGCGTGCGAAAGGTGACGGTGGCAGGGAGCACAGCCAGCAGAGAGGTGGGGGTCGGGAAAGTGTTGCAGGCAGCTGTGCCGCCTAATAAGGCTGCTGTTGTTAAGCCAGGCTTTGGGGCGCTAACAGGGAGCGGAGGAAAGGGAGCGAGATGAGCCTCATGGTTAGATGTTAGGCCGCACAGCACGGCCCCCTCCATTACCCTCCCCCCCCATCGCTCTCACTGCCGGCACTCTTACCCCCCGGGCTCCAAACCACTGCACACCTGCCGAGCAGCAGCGAGAGCCTGACGTCCTCGTCCACCATGTCGCCCTCCACCGCTCTCACCGCCCGCCCTCGCCCCCCGCCCGCCCCCTCGCCCGCCACTGACGCCCACAGCGCTGTCAGCGCCCCCCTCGCTGACGTCAGCGCGGCCTCCGCCTCTGAGAGGCGCGCGAGATGCCTGCAGCTGCGCGCCCTCCACAGCCACAGCTGGCGGGGGGGAGGGGGAGAGGTGGGGATGGGGGAACGGGGGAGTGGGGAAGGGGGAGGGGGGTGGGGAAGGGGGAGGCGGATGGAGGCTCGTAAACAAAGCCAGACACTCCGAATGACACGCCATGATTGAGTAGCAGATGCACGATACACCATGTGTACCATGCTTCGCACCCCACTCGTGCTCACACATGCCCCACACACCACCCACCACCCACCTGCGGGGCGAGGTCAGCGCCATCCCTGAGGGCGCCGTCCGCCTCCACCACCGCGCCCTGCCAGTCGCCCGCCCGCACGCTCTGCTCGCACCGCGCCACACACCCCTCCACCCGCTCTAAGCGCGCCCTCTCCTCCGCCGCCTCCCCCTCCGCCATCTCCGCCAGCTGCGCGCGCGCGTCCTCCACCCGCCCCAGCCGCAGGTACAGACCAGACAAACGCTGCCGCCCGCGAGCGTAGCTGCCGTCCAGCCGCACGGCCTCTTCGCAGTCCGCGACGGCGTCTGCCACCCGGTTGAGTGCGGACAGCGCGGCGGCGCGGTTTGCGCGGTAGTGTGCGCGCGTGGGCGCGAGAGCGACGGCGCGGTCGTAGAGCTGAAGCGCGTCGGCGAAGCGGCCTGCCTTGTAGTACTCGTTGCCCGCCGCCTTCGCGTCCTCCGCGCTTCCGCTCGCCAGCGCGCGCGCCATCGACGCGGCGGACGGGTGGGGGGGCGAGCGGGACGGCGAGGGAGAGGCGTGCGGGGAGGCGGCGGAGCCGGCGGCCGCGCGCATGCTGGAATGGCACGGACCGCCGCTGCTGCTGTTACTCAAAGCGTTCCGGGTAACTGGGGCTGCTGACACTGTTACAGCTCCCGCTGGTGGGGCAAAACGTGGACGGCAGCTACGGGTTGTGAGATCGGGCGGGGGAGATGGAGGGAATGGAGGCGCAGGCGGCGGAAGGACGGGGTGCAGTGAAGGAGGGGATGGGAGGGCGAGCGTCCTCCGTGTGCGGCCATATGAGTGGGATCACCGCCGGCTGCGGAGTGACGTCAGCTTCACTTGCTGACCCCTCGTTGCGTGCTCAGGGTCCGCTTCATGTGGAGCCCATCAGGATCGCGCAGCAACGCGCAAGGTGTCGACGGGCTGCGCGGCACGCGGAAGCAGCAAGCTGCGGTGACCTCGAGGTGGACTGTGTGACGCCACGCGCCACGCGCCCCACTAGCCGTGGGCGCGGAATACGAACGGAGGGAATTCTTGGGATAGTTGATGAGAGGCGAGTGCGCAGCAAGGGCGGGAGTGCTGAGCAGGTTGGAAAGCTGAACGCTGGCGAGCCATGTCAAGCACTGATCTGCGGGAAAATATGCCATTCGTAATGAACAAGGGTCTCGATAAAATAAAGGGTAAGGTCACCACAAAGGCTGTTTTCACGTGTATTGTTATGATTTGTACTAAAGAGTAAAAAATGTGAAGTACAGAATGACGAAAATGATAAAGAAGCAAGCATTTATAGGGTCGAAACCGTGCTAGGCGAGGACCTTGGGACGTGGATGGTTGGGAGTGTCGCGATTGGAGCGGGGCGACTCGGTAGTGGTTCGGGCCGAAGTGTAGGCCGAACCTGAAACTGACATCGAGTGCCTTTGGCGCTTAAAGCCGTGGCCCAACTATCAGCTTCAACTTAGAAGTATTATAGCTTCGAACTTGGTTGTCCCAGGCAGTTCTGTGGCGAGAAGTTTGTCTTTTCCGAGATTCCATTTTTTTCATCCAATAAGGGTCTCGTTACGCACACTCCATCTTTGTCTTGCTACTGTTCCTAAGAAGTTGCACCCCGCCTTTAATCAAGCACCGCTGCAAACTCCGCCGTTGGCACGGATATTGTCGACGACCCCGCCGACTCCGTTAAGACACATTTTCGGAACTGCTCGTGGCACCCGTAAATGTCGGAAGTGAAAATACACCACGTAAATGTGAAAGTAACGAACGAGAATGAATGAACTAGCAAACAGTTGGGTACAAGTACTAACCCTAATTGGGTTGAAGCAAAGCAAGCTCAGGGTGGATCACAAAGTCACCACACAGTCCGAGCACAAGCAAAGGGCCACAAGGCCAGTTCACATGCAGAGATATATAAAGAGAACAAACAATACACTGATCATACCCTAGCAAGTACAAGCATGCAGGTATACATATAGATCACAGTACAAGTAGAGTCAAGCAGTAAGCAAGTGAGGCAAAGTAGGCACAAGGCCTAACACAGTAACAAAGCGCTGATGATCACCAGGCGGAAGTGCCTTGGTGAAGACATCAGCAGTGTTGGTCCGAGTGGCCACGTACGCAAGACGAAGCTGGCCACGCGGCTGCAACTCTCGAGCAAGGAAGTATCGCAGAGCGATGTGCTTCGTTATGTGCTCCAGTCAGTGCTCCTGACACAAGGCAATCATGGCCTTGTTGTCTACGTACAGAACTGGAGGCGAACTAGGCTGCTCTCCCAAGTCGGTCAGCAGGTAGGTGAGCCAGCGGAGCTCCTGAGCAGCCATGGCCCCGACGTAGATCTCAGCCTCACAACTGGAGCTGAGAACCGAAGACGAGCGGGGAGCTCTGCAAGCCAAGATAGCTGCGCAGTTCACCCAGGTCAGTACAGGTGTGTCTCTTCTGCAGCTCCAACTTCACAAGAGTCAGTGCCTTAGTGTCAGCAGTGGCAAAGACGAGGTCGTCGACGTAGACAAGGACGTAGAACGGCGGCAACGAGGTGTCGGTGCGTAGAAACAGCGATGGGTCAGCAGTAGCAGGAGCAAACCCAAGAGCCGCAAGCGTAGTCCTCAGTGTGTCGTGCCACTCGCGAGGCGCCTGGCGGAGACTCCACTGAGTACATGCAGGAAAAGACTCAGTGAAACCAGGTGAGCGGCGCAACCAGATCTCCTCGTGCAGGCTGCCATGCAGGAACGCTGTGCTGAAGTCCAGAGAGTGCAACTCGTAGTCACGCTGAGAAGCGACGTGTAGCAACACCCGAAGAGTAGTCATCTTCGGGGTGGGGGAGAAGGACTGGAAGTAGTCAACTCCCTGTCGCTGACTGAAGCCTCGAGCAACGTAACGCGCCTTGAAGGCAGGCGGAGAACCAGGCGGCCGCTTCACCCTGAAGATCCACATGCCATCGACTATGTTCGCCCCAGGTGGGGGAACCTCGTCGACGTAGGTGCCTGTGGACTTCCAGGATGCCATCTCGGCATCCATGGCTGCCTGCCACCGAGAGGAGTAAGGACCCGTAATCGCCTCTGCGTAAGAACGCGGGGTCGGGATGTCTGGAGCATCCGGGTCTCCCTCAGGGGCAAGCAGCATGGAAGCGAAACGAGGTACAGCAGCTGCAAGAGACTCAAAGTCCTCCTGCTTGTCCTCAAGGACGTCCGTGCCAAGAGCTCACTCACCCTCGACGAACGGAGGACTGGCAGACGCAAACTCAGCAACAAAAGCAGTGGCGTAGTCTAGACGACAGGCAGCAGCAAAGTCAAGCTGCTCAGCAACGAGAGCAGACGCAGCGGTGGACTCAAAAGAAGGGTCAGTGACAGCAGTGGCGAGGAGACGAGAGACAGTGGGACTGGCAGCACGAGCGCGGTCAGACTCAGGGTCAGGGACCTCAGGAAGAGAGGACTCAAGAGGAGCTGGCAGAGGAACACGCAGAGGAACAGAGGAAGGACGAAGGGTCATAGTGTGCGTGCTAGGGACAGGAGGAGGACGCGAACGAGGAACGCGACGAGGAGTGCGAACAGGTGAGACAAGACGAGACGCAGGCTCACGACGCTATGTAAGACCCCCGGACTGCTCAGTGTAAGGAGAAGGAGCAGGCAGTGGAGAGGCCGGAAGTAACGGCGGTAGCGACCGGTCAGGCGGGGGACACAGGAGGGGAGGAGTAAGGTCAGCAGAAGGCGGGGTACCAAGAACCTGTTGGAGCAGGGGAACGAAGTACGGTCGCGGCTGCACAGCACCACTAGGGGCAACAGCTCCAGCTCCTCCAGCGGCAGCACCTCCAACACCAGGGCCTCCAGCTCCAGTGCCTCCTGTGCCAGGGCCACCAACTCCAGCTCATCCAGCTCCAGCGCCACCAGCGCCAGTAGTACCAGACTCCGGAAGGTCTCCAACTCCAGCACCCTCAACACCACCAGTTCCGGCAGCTCCAGTACCACGAGTACGAGCACCTCCAGGACCAGCGGTCGCAGTACCTCCAGTAACACCAGCTCCAGCAGCAACTCCAGTACCTCCAACTCCAGCACCGCCATAACCAGCGAATGACATACGGGCAACTACCCCCAGACGCCCCACGCAGAAACCACATACGAAGCTGCTGGGGAGACGAGGTCTCGCTCCGACGCTGCTGCTGCTGACGCTGGCCACCCCCAGAACCGACACGCCGAGCGCCAGTCCCACCGCTACCAGTCCCACCGCCTCTACTGCCGCCACTCCCACCGCTGCCTCCACCACCGCCACCAGAGCCCCCACTCCCGCCAACAGTCACACCGCCGCCACCACCTCCACTGCTGCCCCCACCACCACTCCTGCTGCCACCTCCACCACCGTCGCTGCCACCTCCACCACCCCGGCCACCCTTGCCCTTGTTACTGCGGCGCTTCGCACTAGCAGAAGCAGCCCCGACGTCCTCAGCAACAGAGACGTCTGTAGCAGCAGCAGCAGAGGAGTAGGAGGGGGCAAAGGAGGGGGCAAGCGGAGTGCCACGAGCAGCACCTACAGCAACTGCACTTGTCTTAGCTGCGAGGAGATGTTGCTCGAGGAGGTCAACAGTGAGGGAGGTGGGGTCAAGAGAGAGGAAGTGGTCCCTAACAGAGCGAAGAGAGTCAGGGAGGCGGGTGACTATAAAGTAGAGAGTGATGTACATCAGGGGAGGGTTCCTGTCAAGGAACTCAGCAGGAACGGCAACGCGGTAGCGAGCGTCACTAGCGCGAAGGTGGGAAACAAGGTCCTTGACTGTGGTAAAGGCGGACAGCTCGGGGAACAGGTAGGGAAAAAGAAGGCGGCCTAGAGCAGTAGTGGCAGGGGAGGAGTAGCGAGCGACTACAGCGTCGTACAGTGCCTGCGCTGTCCTGTGCTGTCCGAAGTGAGCGCATTCAGCCAATGGCAGGTGGTTGCGAATGGCTAAGCGGGCAGCAGCATCACGAGTAAGCCACTGTGAGCGAGTCGAACTGTCACCACACAGTCCGAGCACAAGCAAAGGGCCAAAAGGCCAGTTCACATGCAGAGTTATATAAGGAGAACAAACAATACAGTGATCATACCCTAGCAAGTGCAAGCATGCAGGTATATATATAGATCACAGTATAAGCAGAGTCAGGCAGTAAGCAAGTGGGGCAAAGTAGGCACAAGGCCTAACACAGTAACAAAGCGCTGATGATCAGCAGTGTTGGCCCGAGTGGCCACGTACGCAAGACGAAGCTGGCCACGTTGCTGCAACTCACGAGCAAGGAAGTATCGCAGAGCGATGTGCTTCGTTCTGTGCTCCAGTCTGTGCTCCTGACACAAGGCAATCATGGCCTTGTTGTCTACATACAGAACTGGTGGCGAACGAGGCTGCTCTCCCAAGTCGGTGAGCAGGTAGGTGAGCCAGCGTAGCTCCTGAGCAGCCATGGCTCCGGCGTAGATCTCAGCCTCACAACTGGAGCTGAGAACCGAAGACGAACGCGTAGACCGCCAAGAAACAAAGCCGAAACCGAGGCTGAAAGTGTAACCCTGTGACGACCGCTGCGTAGCTGAGTCATCAACCCAAGAGGCGTCTGCGTGACCGGTGAGGA